CGCACACGCACACGCACACGCACACGCACACGCACACGCACACGCCACGCACACGCACACGCACACGCACACGCACACGCACACGCACACGCACACGCACACGCACGCGCACACGCACACGCACACGCACACGCACACGCACACGCACGCGCACGCGCACACGCGCACACGCACACGCACACGCGCACACGCGCACGCGCACGCGCACGCGCACGCGCACGCGCACGCGCACGCGCACGCGCACGCGCACGCGCACGCGCACGCGCACGCGCACGCGCACGCGCACGCGCACGCGCACGCGCACGCGCACGCGCACGCGCACGCGCACACGCACACGCACACGCACACGCACACGCACACGCACACGCACACGCACACGCACACGCACACGCACACGCACACGCACACGCACACGCACACGCACACGCACACGCACACGCACACGCACACGCACACGCACACGCACGCGCACGCGCACGCGCACGCGCACGCGCACGCGCACGCGCACGCGCACGCGCAGGCGCACGCGCACGCGCACACGCACACGCACACGCACACGCACACGCACACTCACACGCACCCACGCACACGCACAGGCACACGCGCACGCACACGCACACGCACACGCACACGCACACGCACACGCACACGCACACGCACGCGCGCACGCGCGCACGCACGCACGCACACACACGCACACCCAGAACACGCCGCTCATCCCCGCGCAGAGCGCGCCGAAACCGCCTCAGTACGCCGAGTCCATGCCGATCGAACAGAAGCCGCGAGCTGCCTGCTGCCTGGAAGGTCTGTGCGCGTGCCGATGAGATTCTTGAGCTTCCGTGCGCGGTCTATGATTTGGCCTCCGCCTTCACCTTGATCGTGGAGCCGTCAGACAACTTGTGGGTGACCACCTTCGAGTAGATGGGCTTCAGCCACGCCCGCTTCCCGCCGATCTTCTTCCGCTTCTCGCGGTGCACCGCGTTGTCGTGCACGACGCCCGTCGCGCGCGTCTTGTAGCTGCGGGCTCCATCAGAGTGCGGGATCACCTTCCTGTTCTCCAGGCGGCCCTTCAGGAACGGCGCCCAGTCGCTCCTCTTGATGGCGCCCGGGCCTGGCGCGTTGGCTTCGGCGCCGTCAGTCTGGGTCTTCCATGGCGCGAGGCCCCCAGGGCGCCCGCGCTCAACGACGCCCGCCCATTGCTCCCAAGTCTTGGAAAGGCCGTCATCGGAGACCTGGGCGCGGAAGACCGCCTCGTCCGCCTCCACGTCGAACCAGCGCCGCTGGCCGCTGTCGCCGAAGAGAATGTCCATCTCTTTCTTCCCGACGTAGATCTTCCGCGCGGCCGCCATGGCCCTGTTCGTGCATGTTCTCGACCATCTTGTGGTTCACCTTTGTCAGCAAGTGTATCTGGGCGGTGGTTAGGCCGAGCGCGAGGCAGAAGGGGGCCTTTGCCTTCGTCGACAGACTTGGCGACTGGCAGCCGCCGCCAGACTTGAAGACGTGGTGGGCAGTGCACGGGTGGGCGGTCTTGCCGCGCAGCCTGCCGCTGTTGCACCGCCAATGCGGGCCGCGAGTGTCATCCTCCACCCGTGCGCCCAAGGTCCCGACGGCGCAGCGCGGGCAGGTGCGGCCTTCCCAGTCAAGCGCAACGCCGTCCTCGATGAGCATGTCTACCATATGGTCCGTAGCTTTCGCGTGGAAGCTGTCGTAGGTGCGGGGCCACGCCTCGCGCTCCTTGCGCGACTTCTCCGCCTTCTGGCAGTGGCGGGCATGCTCGACCTTCTTCTGCTGAGTCTTCTGGCGTTGGCCCATCCTGTCTTTGCCCTTCCTGCGCACAGGGAACGGCCTGGGCACTCCCGCCGGCCGCTTCTTCGGCGCGATGGCGGCGGCGGGGCGCTTGATCGCGCCCCTCCCCATCGCCGACTGGGGCAGGGTGGTGGCTTAGACGGTCGATCCAGCAGATGCGCACTGAGCGAAAATAAACTGCGGGCGCGCCTTGAAGCTGGCGTGCACAGAGACAAAACGGGCTGCGAGGGCGGCGGCGTCGCTGTCGATGGATGGATGAGGGCATCCATTTTTTCGGATGCCCTTTATCCTTGCAGGGGAGTCAGCTGTTTTCTGTTTGCCGCCGTTGGTGTGATGTTGCTGCGTTGCGTCGCTGTTTCAGTCAGGTGTTGCCCTTGTTGTTTGTGTCGTGGCGGTATCGCTTGCGATGCGTGGATGAGGGCATCCAATTTTTCGGATGCCCATTATCACTGCAGGGGACAAAGCTGTTTTCTGTGTGCCGCCGTTGGTGTGATGTTGCTGCGTTATGTCGCTGTTATGTCGGCTGTTTCCGTTCTTACTTCCGTGGTTGTATTGTTTCTGATTGGTCGATCGTCGGCGTCGCGGTCGTTGCTGTTCTTGTTTCTCTGTTTGCCGCCGTCGGCGCGCTGCCGTGGGCACGCGTCGTTGTTTCCGTTGGATGGCTGCGTCGTTGTTCCTGCTGTGCTGTTGCTCCTGGTTGCCTGTTTCGCCGCGTGTTTGCCGCTGTCGGCGTGCTGTCGGTGCGTTGTGTCGTTGTTCCTGTTGGTCGTCTGCGTGGCTGTTTCTGCTGCGTTGCTGTTTCTGCTCTGACATTGCGTTGGCGTCGGTGTTGTTGTTTCCGTGCGCCGCCCCTCTCCGCGTCAGGCGGGGTCGCGGCCCCCTCTTTCCCCCCCCCCAGGCCCGTCTGTGCGCGCCGTCGCCGCTCCCTCTCCCTTTCCCCGCTGCCCTCGCCAGCCCCAGCTCGCGCGGGCGGCGGGCTTGCTCTTCTCGCCCCGCGCTGGCGTCGGGGGGGGGGCGGGCAGAGCGCCCCCGCCTACTGCCTGCAGCAGTGCCCAGTGCGGTACTTCGGCGGGCGCTTCTCCCAGAGCCACATCTCGCTGGCGACCCGGGCGGGCAGGCGGTCCACGACCGCGCAAGGGAAGCGCGCCCGCCGCGCCTCCCACGCCCGGAGGCGCTTCTCCGCGGCGGCCAGCGCGCCCCGAGGACCAACTGGAGGAACGGGCAGAGAGGGCAGCAGGGCAGCAGCAGGGCGCAGCAAGGCCGCAGCAGGGCAGCAGGTCCTCAGCCTTCTGTCGCTGTCCGTTCCTCCAGTCGGTCACCCGTTTCTGCTTTGCGAGCAGCTTCTTCTGGTCGTGGAGGGAGTTGTTGGCCTGCTCCAGCTGGTCCTATGGATTTTGCGCCAGATTGCGCGCGCGGGGGCAATGGGGCACCCGCAGAGCGCAGCAGAGAAGCAACGGGGCGCAGTAGGGCAGCAGCAGGGCAGCAGCGGGGCAGCATCCAGGCAGCAGCAGAGCAGCAGCAGAGCTGTTGAGGGAGGAGCGCAGCAGGGCAGTGGAGTTTGATATGCGCCTGTGTCCTTGGTGTTCAAGAGTATAGTGTAGATGTCGTTCCGCTGCTTCGTCGACCTGTTCTTCTGCCGCAGGGCCTCAGCGGCAGCCCTGTCCACGACCTTGTCAAACCTAGCCTTCGCGCGACGTTTGGCTTCCTTCGCACTTGGCGTTTCGATGTGTTGCTTTGATTCGTAATTGGCTTCGAGCTTGCGGTGGTACTCGGCCGTGCCCTTGATAGGATTGCCCATGGCTGCCTGGCGCCAGCGGCGCTTCAGGGGGCGCTTTGGACTTCGATTTGCAAAAAATACCCCGGCAAAGCAACCTAACAGCCATGTGTAGGAGCATCTCTGGGTCGAACAGCATGTCGATGTATCATATGCACTAACTTAAAGCGGGCGCGTTACGTTAGGAGGAGGGATCAAGGAGAGGAGGCCGGCGAGGGGGGGGCTGTGCCCATCCGAGGGAACGGGGCAGCCCCCCCCGCCCCAAAAAATGTTTCGGCCTCTCAAGGCCCCCCCCGCTCCACGAATCCCATTGGGGGGTCGAGGCCCCCGCTCTGCAGTGGGATTCGCGGAACGGGGCGCCCCCCAGGTGCTTGTTATCTTCGCGCTGGCGCCGGCAGTGTGCACCTGAGGGAGCGCGGGTTGAAATGAGTGAGGGATCAGGAAGGATGTGGAGGGGCGTTCCGCTCTGAAGCGTCCTCACAATCTGGCAAAACCGCAACCCCTCCCCGGGGGCACCGCGCGTGCTGGACCAGGCACATGCGTCGCCCTAAGTCGGCGCGCACATATGAGAGGCCCATGTTTGTGTGTCTGTCCCCCAGGAAGGCCCGACATGGCGAGCAGAAGACCCGAATAATTCGTCCGGTGTGTCTGTCCCCCAGGAAGGCCCGACATGGCGAGCAGAAGGCCCGAATAATTCGTCCGAGGGGCTCCCCAGAGGGGCTCCCCAGAAGGGCGCAGGGAGCCTTCCTCAGAGCCCTGGTGCGCACGACCTTGGCCGAAGGCCATCAGATATGCAAGTACAACAGTTCATGCAGGAATCTCTTGTGCATGTGCTGGTGCCACTGCTGCGAGCAGGCAGTGGAACGAGCGAGGAGGGGGTATCAACCTTGACCGCCCGCCCCCGCCCCCTTCCCTTGACCGCGCTCCGCGGCCGGGCGCAAGCGCGGCCGGTCGGGGCAGCCGGCCGGGGCAGCCGGCCGGGGCAGCCGGCCGCCCTCCCCTCCTGCTCGTCCTCCTCCTCCTCCTCCTGCTCGTCCTCGTGCTCCTCCTGCTCGTCCTCTTTCTCCTGCTCCTCCTCCTCCTCCTCCTCCTCCTCTTTCTCCTGCTCCTCCTCCTCCTCCTCCTCCTCCTCTTCCTCCTGCTCGTCCTCGTTCTCGTCCTCCTCGTCTTGCTCGTCCTCCTCCTCCTGGTGCTCCTCTCCTCCTCCTCCTCCTCCTCCTCCTCCTCCTGGTGGTCCTCGTTCTCCTCCTCCTGGTGCTCTCCCCCTCCTCCTCCTCCTCCTCGTCCTCCGTCCTCCTCCTCCTCTTCCTCCTCCTCCTCCTCCTCCTCCTCCTCCTCCTGGTAGTCCTCCCCCTCCCCTCCTCCTCCTCCTCCTCCTCCTCCTCTTCCTGGTCGTCCTCGTTCTCGTCCTCCTCGTCTTGCTCGTCCTCCTCCTCCTGGTGTCTCTCCTCCTCCTCCTCCTCCTCCTCCTCCTCCTCCTCCTCCTCCTCCTGGTGGTCCTCGTTCTCCTCCTCCTGGCTCTCCCCCCCCCTCCTCCTCCTCCTCCTCGTCCTCTCCTCCTCCTCCTCCTCCTCCTCTTCCTCCTCCTCCTCCTCCTCCTCCTCCTCCTCCTGGTAGTCCTCCCCCTCCTCCTCCTCCTCCTCCTCCTCCTCTTCCTGGTCGTCCTCCTCCTCCTGGTCGTCCTCCTCCTCCTGCTCGTCCTCCTCCTCCTCCTGCTCGTCCTTCTTCTCCTGCTCCTCCTGCTCCTCGTCCTGCTCCTGCTCGTCCTCGTCCTCCTGGTCTTGCTCGTCCTCCTCCTCGTCGTGCTCTTGCCCCTGCTGAAAATGTGGCCCAGGAATGGGAGTTCTGGGAAGTCGAAGAGCACCAAGTTGCTTACAGTTGGCTACGGGCATTCAAAATGTGGCCCGGGAATGGAGTTCTGGGAACTCGAAGAGCACGAAGTGGCCTACAGTTGGCTCCGGGCATTCAAAATCTGGCCCGGGAATGGAGTTCTGGGAATTCGAAGAGCACGAAGTGGCCTACAGTTGGCTCCGGGCATTCAAAATGTGGCCCGGGAATGGAGTTCTGGGGACTCGAAGACCACGAAGTGGCTTACAGTTGGTTCCGGGCATTCAAAATGTGGCCCGGGAATGGAGTTCTGGGAAGTCGAAGAGCACGAAGTGGCTTACAATTGGCTCCGGGCGTTCAAAATGTGGCCCGGGATTGGAGTTCTGGGAAGTCGAAGAGCACGAAGTGTGTGACTGTTTGTTTAAAACGACTTCTGCGGCACCCTGTCCGGCACCCGCCCAGACCCCCCTGTGGAGTCATCTGCTGCTCCCTTTTGACACCACTAGAAACCTATCAGAACAAGCTGTTAGGTAAGTACATCAACAATGGATCAATGAAGGTGGCATGGGTGACAACTTGAATCGCTCATCTAACCTAGCTCCCCATCCTCCTTCTGCTCATCATCCTTTCTCAGCGTGTTCAGTTCCTCATCTTCTGCAGTCCTCCTCATCACCATCGTCATCGTCAGCATCGGCAGCATCATCATCGTCATCATCGCCATCGTCATCGCCATCATCATCATCCTCGTCATCATCGTCGGGGTCGCACTCGTCTTATCTAGCTCCTCTTCCTTCTCGCTCACATTATCGAGTTCTTCGCTCTCCTGGCCCCCTCCTCCTCATCATCAGCCCTTCCTGGGGGTGCATGGGGGGCTGGGGTCCAGCGCGAGAGAATATTAACAAGCGTGCCGCCCTCAGCCCGCGGTTGCAGTGCACCGCCGCCGCCCTCAGTCCGAGGTTGCACTGCCCCGCTGATGGATGGACGGACGGCGCGCTCATCAAGGCAGCGACTGAAAGCCAGCTTGCAAGCCAGAGAACATCTTGCGTCGAGCACTCGGTCGTTTTGTCATTGCCGCCCAAGGCGAGGAGCAGCTGACGGGGCGGGCCCCAAGGCGCCCCGCTGAAGGGGGATAGGAGGATGAGGAAGTGCGATGGGGAGTGGGGAGAGGGGGGGGGATTATCCCGGCAAAGCGACCTAACAGCGATGTGTAGGAACATATCTGGAAGCATTCCCGTTAAGATTCAGATGAGAATCCAGTTGTAGAATTGTGCTGTTCTCGCAGTCGTAGTCGCATTCGCGATGACAGTCGCAGTGGCAACGGCAGTCACAGACACAGCCTCAGCCTCAGCTTGCCTCAGCCTCAGCCTCAGCCTGCCTCAGCCTCAGCCTGCCTCAGCCTCAGCCTCAGCCTGCTTCAGCCTCAGCCTCAGTCTGCCTTCAGCCTCGGCCTCAGCCTCAGCCTGCCTCAGCCTCAGCCTGCATCAGCCTCAGCCTCAGCCTCAGCCTGCCT